CGCTTGCAAGCACAACATCACAGTCTGGCGGACCCTCTCGATACCCCCAAGTACCGCAGTGCACCACATGCGCTTTTCACCGTGATCAAGGAAGAGGGATTCAGCACTCTGTACCGCGGTGTCTCCCTGACTGCCCTTCGTCAAGGAACCAACCAAGCGGCCAACTTCACAGCCTACACCGAATTGAAGGCTTTCCTTCAGAGAGTTCAGCCCGAGTACAGCAACACACAGCTTCCTTCCTACCAGACAACTTTTATCGGTCTGATCTCCGGTGCCGTCGGACCTTTCTCCAACGCCCCGATCGACACGATCAAGACGAGACTGCAGAAGACCCGCGCTGAGCCCGGTCAATCAGCCGTATCACGTATCATGGTCATCGCGAAGGACATGTTCAAGCAAGAGGGTGCTCGCGCCTTCTACAAGGGTATCACACCCCGTGTGATGAGAGTGGCACCTGGTCAGGCCGTCACTTTCACCGTGTACGAGTTCCTGAAGGGCAAGCTGGAGACCTCCGGGTGGGCTTTCGTTGGTGGAAACTATGAAGAGTAAGTGGCTCCCATTGAAGGGATGGCCACTGTATGTTCTCGAAAGCATTTGATACCATGAGCATGGTGGCGTTTTCGATCGCTGAGTTATCAGCAATCTCCTGTTTATATGTTTGGGGGCATTGGAGAGCCGCCAGGCGAGATCCACATGGAGTGGATTGTATATATTATATCCGATTTCCTTGTTCATTTCCTGTGTTAGCATACATCCGTTCTTGGATAGAGTCAAATAAACCATTCAGAGAAGTTCACTGAATTCCGAGGGCGTAGTAAAGAGTAGAAGTAGATACAAAACTTCCCACGTAGATAAGAAGGGGGCCGATCGCCCGGGGCAGCAAACTGAGCCCCGCTAGAAGCAAGACACACCGCTTCTGCCCTTCCCCTCCGTCTGTCTCCCCGAAACAACCCTTCCAGATAAACCCCTCGACTGCAGGAAGTAGATCGGCCGATAAGTTGCATAACCCGAAACGGCCAGGAGCTACTGCTGGACCTTGATTCACGATGCAGTCCGGAATCTCAGGTACATATCTACAAATCTCGTTCCCCTCGTCCTCCCCTTGTTCCTGACGATTACGACATCCCGCAACCGATCCCCTCGGACATGCCACCTTACAAACCCAAGTTACGCTCAACTTCTGCATTCTTTGCTAACTATACACTATAGTCTCTGATGAGCTTCACGAAGCCTTCAGGAACTTCGTCTCCGATGAATCCATCTTCTGCCTTCCCGTAACAATCAAGTCGGAAAGCCTGTCGCCCCTTTCCCCGGTTCCTTTTGCCTCTCCAAACGCCTTCTATCCGTCTCTTTCCCAGCTCTCATCCGTCCTTGAACCCAAGACTCCCCTTTACCTCCTCATTCGTCGCCCTGAGAATGGGTCATCCTCCCTTGTGGCTTTGACCTACATTCCTTCTAATGCTGGCGTGCGCGCTAAGACTCTCTTTGCCGCAACCCGCGCCACCTTGGCTAGGGAACTGGGAACGGAGAAGTTTGCTTCCACCATTTTCGCTACGGATGAAGATGAGGTCATTGGCGAGGAGGCATGGAAGGAGCGGGATGCAGAGAAGAAGGGTACCGCGGGCGGTTTCCGACGGGAGGATCTGATGGGCGAGAAGGAGCGGGAGTTGGAGGCTGTGCGGAGAGCGGAAGAGGAGGCTCGTAGCGGCACTCCGAGCAGAGATATAGGTATTGGTGGGACGTTCAACAGAGCAAACCCATTCGGTGGTGCATCCGTCAAGATGAAGGTCGATGACGATGTTAAGCAGGCCCTCGAAGGGTTACAGCAGGGTGGCCTGGTTCAGCTGGTATGCGTCTTCTCTTAACGCGTCTGGGTTATGTTTCTTTCATTTGGGATTGCTCTAACTTCGCTTTGTCTAAATACAGGCCATTGATGTCCCCACGGAGGCGATCAAGGTTGCTGCCGCTGAGTCCGGAGTGGAGGCGAACTCCGTCCAGTCACACATCCCTTCGTCTTCTCCCCGGTACACACTTTACCACTACCCCGACTCCGACGTGGTGATCTTCATCTATACCTGCCCCTCGGGTTCCTCGATCAAGGAGCGTATGCTGTACGCCAGCTCCCGGATGCATGCAATCACTATGGCTGGCGATCAGGGCCTGAAGATTTCAAAGAAGGTAAGAACTGAATGCACACGCTCGATTGATTGAAGAGTCCCTAACATAGCACGCAGATCGAGGCATCCTCGCCTGATGAGATCACGGGCGAAAGGTTGCATGAAGAAGTCCACCCGCCCCAGGACAACGGACCGAGCCGGGGATTTGCGAGACCGAGACGTCCGGGTCGGTAAATCTCCGCGCGTGGGTAGATGAACCCGTAATTTCTTGTATATCCCGCTCTATGATCCGCGATAGTATATAGCCCCGGGCACCTGTGACCGAAACACCGTCGGTACCAATCTCCTCTTCCTTCTGTAGCTGTTGCTGTCTTACTCTCAACAACCGTTTATATTCGCCCAAGCCACCTCCATAAGTCTGCAGAGCTCCCTAAAACTAGGAGCATACGATGCAGAGGGCAGACGTTCTCGCCCAAGAGCCCAAATGCGTGGCGAACAAGGGAAAACAACACCCATCCAGCATCAATGATTTCGAAAACTTTTCTTTTGGTAGAATAAATCCGTCCTCGAACTTCCCAAGTTTATAATCTTCGGGCAACCGTCTCGATCCTTTTCGAGTCGCGTGCACTCGAAGCAATAGAAGGCATCACTGATCCCCTCTCCACCACACACGATGCACTTGTTCTGGTAGTTTCCGAAGGAGCACTCGTCGCAAATGCGGACCAGGGTCGTGGGACGCACGTAGGAGTCGCACACGGGACATTTGCCGTCACACTTATCGCACAAGCGGCCGATAGAGATACCGGGCTGCTTGCGGCACATGACGAGATCGGGGTGATGGCGAGACATAGTGGGATTATGAGATTAGTAGCTCTTTTGTGAAGGTAGGAGAGACGCGACGAGTAGTGAAGAACGAGGAAATAACGAGACAAATGTCAGGTCCGCTGTCGAAGAAAGCTGCAGTTATTACGAGCACTTGACGCTTTGTAATGATAGAATGTGATATGTCAGCAGCGAGACAGTGGAAGGCAATCGAAGAAGTCTGGGTCGGGGACACACAGAAGAGAGAGGCAGAGAGGGAGGGAGATGGAACTGGAACTGGAACTGGAAGAAACGCTCTTTCGGGGCGGTCTGGTGGTCCGTGCACGGGCCGTTGGAGTCCCGCCGCGCCGGGCATATCGCGATACCGAAACGAAGGTTTGGTTGAGAGAAGCTGCAAATGAATACCCGGTGACTTCTGTCTGGTTGTTTTCGCGGAATGTTTTGATTCGAGTTGTTCGATACCAAGTGACTATTCTTTTAATTTTACAAACATTTTTGTTTTCATTCATTTGATTGATACTCATCTGCTTCTTTCCTCACCTCTCACGGCTTCTTCTCCCTGCTAGATATGACCGAAGGGTATATATTATTTCGCTGCCAACCCTGACTATTTTACTTGACAAGAAACATCTCTGCTAACATGGGACATTTGCATGAAAATACAGAACTCTCGCGTCGGCCGTCGCCCTCCCCGACCAGGACACTACTACAATCCCGTCCCCAGAAGCAGGGCTAAAGCGGCGACAGTCGTCGATTGAAGACCCAGACTCGGAGAACAAACGCCGTCGTCTTAGCTCACAAACGGAACATCATGATGACACCCAGTCAATTCCGGATCGCAAACAGGCCTCACCGGATGTAACAGAACGGAAACCGCGGCGTGGCGCAGGACGGGATGAGGAGCGCAAACGCGGCCAACGACTATTCGGTGCTCTGCTGGGGACGCTTTCGCAGAGCTCGACCTCGGCGGCCCAAAAGCGACGTGCGGATATTGAGCGACGACAACAGGATAAGTTGAAGTTGCAGGATGAGGAGTATGGAGAGCTGAAGAAGAAGAGGCGGGAGGAACGGGCGGTGATTCGGAAGAAGGAGCAGAGGTTCTACGAGGAGGAATCGGTGAGTTCTGAAATTCCGTACTCCCGGGGGATGATCAGATCATGATGGTGATTTGCTGGGTTTTTGGTTTGCTGCTCGGGTTATGTCGTGCAGGCGCTGATGGATGGATGTCTCAGATGCGCACGCGCCACTCGAATATGATTGCGATGGCTCATTTCCTTAAAACAAGGACAGAGCCGGTATTGGTATGTTTCCCGACTTTATGGTTTTGTGGCGTTGGTGCTTGAGTTTGGGAGATTCTGACTATTCTATCTGCAGTACTACAAGCCGTGGCAGCTAAGGGCGGAGGATGAGGATATAATACAGGACCAGATTAAAGAAGCGGAAGCTACTGTCGCAAGAGAAGTGGCAGAGTTCGAAGCACGCTATTCGTCCCACGAGGAGAAGAATCCCGAGCAGCAGGAGGAGAAGATGCAGGAGGCTCAGCATGAAGAGACCCAGGAACCAGCCTCGGTGTCCGAGTCAGACGCCATGGAGAATAAGAGCGTCGCTCAAGCGTCTTCGGTGACTATGGGAGCTGAGACAACAGCCGATGGAGGCTCCGAAGAAGCCAAAGCCGAGACCTCACCTGCTAATGACAGCAATGTATCTACTAGTATGGACCATGACCGCTCGGATATCCATCGACACGACGATGATGGCGGTGAAGTGGAGGAGGACCAAGAAGATACGGTAATCTATTAGCAGCAGAAGCGGTGACACCCTCTCTCATTCTCCTTTATTTAATTCCACCATATTCTATCACATTGAGTAGCGAATTGCAATGTCGACCGGAGGTTGAAGGCAAGTCTATGCTTTCTCCTCCTTATGTACATTCTTAGTGTCTGCATCGAGTAAGAACCGAGGCATCTCGGCGGGAAGGCCGGCGAGTTCCCCCTTCGGCTGGCTGAACACAAACAATTCGGCGGTCACCAATCAACCAGGGCGAAACTACTGCCAGGAAAACAGGTTTATGTGTACCGGAAATGCCATACTACTCGTGCCCAATGGACTCTGTCGCCTCATTTCCTGTAGTTGGTCTTATATTAATCGATCAATAGCCCCGGTTGCACGTGACGGGACAGCTGGCGGGGGTCTCCATAGGGTACCATTTATAGATCCTGGGAAAGTCGGTATAGCAGCATGCAACTTGCCTGAACACTTCTTTCATTCCATCTGAATCTCTTCCTGCAGTAGACATCCTTGTCAGTACTTGAACATTGCAGCTTCCATCCAACGTTGTTCCGTCATGACCGTGGACAAGATCGATGTAACCGGCGACCCGAGGGTCGAGCGCCGCTCGGCAAACGTCAATGGCAAGACATACGGTATGTAGGAGATGCAGCACATCTGATGCAATTCAGGGGATGGGTTTTCTGCAGACTCGATTATGCTATCATGCATCATTATCATAGCCGTGCAGCAGATCTGTTCCCTGTACTCATCTAGATCTATCTAAGATACACTAGAATTTGTAACACATAAGCGCTGATATATATCGCAGGCTACCTCTACAGCGAGCCCGAATCGGGGGTTTATCGGGCAACAATCTTCCTCGTGCGTCATGCCATCCCAATCTCAAGAGTGACTAGTGATATATGTCACATCGAAATATCATCTAAATCAAACAAGACGATCTAACTATCAATTTGCCGCCTACAGCTCCATGGCTTCCCCGACCTATCCATGGGATGGCGCTACCAAATCCCCATGTTAATTTCCATGGGTCTGCGAGTCGTCGCGCCAGATTGTCTAGGATACGGCCGAACAGTACGTGCCATCATCAACCCTCAAAAACACAAGAATCAACTCTAATGAAAAGAAAAGGACGCACCCGAAGAAATAGAACTATATTCGCACAAAAGCTGCGCCAACGACATCAAAGAACTTGCAATCCAACTAGACGCACCCGAGATCATCCTCGGCGGACATGACTGGTAAGCACTCACCTCCACCTTGATATCCAAGCAATCTATTCCACACTATAACAGCAAGCAAGCAAGCAAGTGAACTAAACCTCAAACCCAATAGGGGCGCCGCCCTCGCCTACCGCGTCGCGCTCTGGCACCCAGAGCTCGTAACGCACATCTTCACAGTCTGCGTGCCGTACGCAGCGCCAGCCCGGAAATATCTCGCGCTAGAAGACATGGTAGAGAATATTGCGCCGCATTTCGCGTACCAGCTGCAATTCCGGAGCGGGAATCTGGAAGATGTCATCTTCAGCAAGGAAGATATCGAAAAGTTCTTGTCGGCGCTGTATGGCGGTCGCACGGATGATAGGGACGTGGCGTTTGATGCCGAGTATGGGGTTTTGTTGGATCGTATGGAGCTTGTTAGGCCGTCGCCTTTGTTGAGTGAGGTGGTGAGTTTATTTCTACTTGCTTCTTATGAAAGAATGGAGTGGGATGTAGAGGCTAATGTGGATGACATCCAGGAACTGGAATACTACGCGAATGAATTCTCGAGGAATGGGCTGAGAGGGCCGTGTATGTTCCAACCATCCCTATTCCCATTACCGCTCAATCCCTGCTGTTGTAAAATAAATACTAACAAACACACAGTAAACTGGTACCGCACACGAGAGATAAACTACGAAGAAGAGCTCGCCATCCTGAACGCACGCATCACGGCCCCATTACTATTCATCCAAGCGCTGAAGGACTCCGCACTGCCGCCGCATCTAGGAAAAGGAATGACGAGGACGGTGCCGCATTTGACGTACAAGCAGGTGAACACGGGGCATTGGGCGCTGTGGCAGGAGCCGGAGGAGGTGAATGAGATTATTGCATGGTGGTTGAAGGAGGTGGTGTTTAAGAGTTTGAGAATGTCGAGGTTGTGAGGTTTGATTCTGATGGGGGTGGTACTATGTATGGGTAGTGCTCAGGTGTACTTTTCTGTACGCATATGTTGCTTGATTGTTGTATTCTTGGGTTTTCTTTGGGATTATCCGCTGGGCGGGATTATTTTTTGAGGATCATGTTTGGGATTTGCAGGTTATTGAAAATGGGTTACCAGTACTAGGATAAAGTCATTTATATAAGATAACATGGCGGTTGGCATATGAGAGCTGTTCGAACAAGCCGCGGGGCAGTTCACTGGCAAGTAATACTATTAACAACTAAGTAAGTAAATATCTATAAACAACCAAATCAAGTCATGAGTAGCTATATAACAAAATCTTGTTGAGAATTCGTCAATCGGCCAAAACCACAAGTAAATCAATTATCCACGATCTGAGTCTCAATATGACACCCGACCTTATCCCAACGATCAATGAACTCCTGACCCAAAGTAGCAGTAGTGACGATCCCACAACGAGACACCTTCTTCACCTTCTCCTCATTCTCAAGAATCGTCATGGCTGCCTCAGCCAGACTCAACCCAGTGAACTCGTACATAGTACCCTGGTATCTCAACTTGCCCAGCACGCGCTGAGGCGTGAGGGTATCCTGGTCCGCAGTCGCGACGGCGCGGTACTCGACGAAGTCGTTGACGGAATCCTCGAGGGTAGGACCAGTACCAGGAGTGTAGATGTACTTCCGGACGAGGGTGCGAACCGGAGGCAGAAGTAGAGCCGTAATAGCGAACAGGAACGTATAGTGCCAGAGGATTCCGGTGAAAGCGTTCCTGGCGCGAAGGAATTGTCTGAAGTAGAACCGGGGTCCGTAGAACTCAGGCATCAGGGTACTGCTGCGGTGGACGGTGGTGGTGTCTGCTAGGCCTGATGGAGAGGTGGTCAAGATGCCCATGTCGCGCACGGATCGGATACCGAGTAGTCTTGCCCATAGCGGCTCACGGGGGATATCTTTGGGAGGGGCCGATGCGGCCAGCGCAAAGGGGGTGGAGATTTTGCGCATTTCGGAAGGTGGTACATTCTCAAAGAAAGTTAGAACAGTGGAGAGAGTGCCGCCGCTTGCTCCGGAGGATCTGGGAGGGTTGGTGTTAGGTATTGGATGGTCCATTGGGGTAGGTGGTGTCTCTCACTTGATATCGTGGATGTCACCGGTGATTGATCTGGTGTGGCAGGATAGATCTTCGCGGACTCGCTTCACTGTAGCCCAGGCGAGCAAGTCTGGAGGTGCGCTTTCGATGCCAACGCAAGGGATGATCTGATTGATAGTTAGGTTGTTGTCGTATTGCGGAGTCGTGAGGGTAAGGTACATACAACAGCACCGTTCGCTTTGGCAGTTTCATGATATTCGTCGATGATCTCCTTGACCCAGTGTGTCTCTCCGGTACTGCTTCGGTTAGCTATGCATTGGTGGACTGGTTATACAGAGGCAAACTGACGCATCGACGTAGTGAGTTCCGTTGCTGGCGCAAGCTTCAATCACGGGCGTAGAGTATAAACAGTAGGGACCCACGCAGTTAATGATAACTCGCGTCTTTTGGACCAACGGGTGCAACTCCTCACGGTTGAGTTGCACGGCGAGGAGGTCTACAAGCAAGTCAACGGTGTGTTCAGCCAACAGACATGTAGTATCAAGTACCTGGCTCGGCACGATCCGGGTTCACATTCTTCAACTCTCGGGCGATATTCTCCAATTTGCTGAGAGAACGACCAGCCAGAGCCCACTTCAGGTTGGTGGGAAAGTTCTTGACGATGTGGTCAGCACAGAAGCGTCCTGTATAGCCCGTGGGCCCCAGGACGATCAGATCATATTGCTTGTTGGATTCCATTTGTTTGTGAGGCTTTGTCGGCTATATCGATTTGTGATATACGAAGGAGACGCTGGATAGCAGATACAGGTAGGATACAAGCACTATGCAAATTATTTGACCGCCACGGATGAATCTAGGGGGGATTCCTGAATGCCACCCAGCCATGACGGCGTTGCTGAACAGCGGTCCTGGGCTAACCCGATGTGAAGAAACCTCCGATGAGAGGACCGAGACATGTGGTTATGCTTAATGCAGTAATGGGATGAGGGGACATTGTGTAGTTCATTGTAGCCGTCTCTAGCATATGAAAGGGTTTTACTCGCTTCTGTTCAGTAATCAAAATCAAGCAAGAGTCCTAAAGAAGCTATACAGATCCTTGTTGCTTACCATGAGGTAACTATTGCCGACTAGTTACAAAGTGGTTAGTAAACTAATTATTCAGTTGTGTTATGCTGTGTCGCATTACATAATCTTCCGTTTGTGTACACACGTGCGTGGGGGGCTGCTGGTTCGAGATAGATGCGCACAGTACGGCGCAAAATGACGAACATGGCTATGAGCAGGACAGTGAATGGATTGAAAGAAGTTACGAAGCTCTCTATAGATTAAATCGTATAGTTTTCCATATTATGATAAAGTATGCTACTCCTAGAGTAGCCAAGTGAATACATCATGGGGAGCATCTGCATTTGAAGGGGCGCACGTGACCGAAGTTCCAGCCCTAAGCGAGCCCGCCCACAACCATTCCCGCCCGAGTAGAAAGCCTCAGTCTCGATTTCGACTTACCGCACTGTTATCATCTTCGACCTCAACAGCCGCACAGAGACAAGATGACGAAGCGCACCAAGAGTATGTGCCCCTTTTGAACCTCTACAGAACGACTGATGAGGTTTTGAATTTATGAACGACGAATCGCGAGACTAACATTTATTGCAGAGGTCGGTATCACGGGTAAATATGGTACCAGGTATGCAGCCACGCTTTTCCACCACGAAGTCTTGAATTCGGGATGAAGTCGATCGAGTTTTTATTTTCCGGAAATCGAAGACGACATGTTCAACCTCGAAATTTGCGATACAGAAGAATCGATATTGACGATGGTTTGATAACAGATACGGTGCCTCCCTGCGTAAGCAGGTGAAGAAGATGGAAGTGTCCCAGCACGCCCGTTACATCTGCACCTTCTGCGGAAAGAACACCGTCAAGCGCAAGGCTGTTGGTATCTGGGAGTGCAAGGGTTGCAACAAGACCGTCGCCGGTGGTGCCTACACTGTCTCGTAAGTACCAACTCTGCTGTTGCCGCTGCTACTTTGGATAAGCTGCGTCTTGGGTCCAGTGCAATCTCCATCTACTTGGACTGGGCCCTTGAGAAGCGGGCATGACATGGATGCTAATCGCTCGGATTGTGTTACAGTACCCCCGCCGCCGCTGCTACCCGCTCCACTATCCGTCGTCTCAGAGAAATCGCGGAGGTTTAAATGTGATAATGGGATTACTTTTTTTCTATTACGTTTAAATCAAAAAATGAGAAAATGAGATCTGGAGAATTTCAATGAGCGAATGTCTCTTTCCACGAAGCCCGCTTGTTCAATGTTGGTAACGCCAACTGCTGTCGTTTGCACGAGGATTTTTCTTCACCGATAGATTTAATGCCATCGGTGATTCCAGACCTTTCACCCAGTTCCATCGAACCAATTAGTCGATTTACCGGATTTATCGGATGAACCTTTTCGTACTACCACTCTTGTTCTGCACTTGGAAATAACGGAGCAACTTGTGATTGCGCCATGCCATCTGATGGACTCGTTTGTGGTAGCATGTGAGTATCTCAACAGGGGATGTTGGGTTCAGCTTGATGGATGTCCACTCGATAATTTTTGAGTTGAGTGTGTAGGGAGACACCGCCAACCACCGCGTTTCCGCAAGGATGTAAAGGAAAACGCCCCCCTCGTGCATTTATCGACATGCATGCATCATACTATCCATCTGTGCCAGATGTGGTCTTCCTTTTGCTTGATCACCCATATAGAGTTCTATCCGTAGCTTGTTCGGACAGGTTGCTCAAGACGGTCGCAAACCTTAAAGAAATGTGTTCACTACGTATCTGTTCCTTTTCTTTGGTTCTTTTCATTTTCTCGAACTACCACTAGGGACGGACCGTTGTGTCAGCTAAATATATCAAGTTAACTAATTATTCGTCATGTTTTAGGCAGATAAGAAAAGGTCATTCGGGAGTTCGCACTACTATACACTAACTACTTAATCCTCATGGAGGGGGGGGGGAAAGATCAGGGTCACACCGACCCGTGGACTTTTCTACTAGCTTTTTCAGGGAAGAGAAAGAAAGACAGTCAACTACTAAAGCAGAAGGAGGGAACCAACTAACTAGGAAGAAAGAGGCTTGCTGAGACTAGAGATGCAAAGGTACTCAGCTGGTGCTGCAAGGGCAAGGCATTTTTCTCATTCATCATTCAAAAAAGAGAGAGCGCGGGTGACTAAGGCCAGGCGACGATATTCAATGAAGATCATTGGCTGGACCAAGGCCGGTCACGTTGGAGGCCAGACTGCATTGCGTTAGGCTGGATTTCAGGTCCACCTTCAAAAGGCCGGTTGCTTTCTCCCCACATCACTCGACCTGCTCTCTCTCCCCTTCTCCTTCCCACTCCCTCTGCCTTCCTGTCCCTTCTGCCGGTTGCTCTTCATGCCTTCTCTCAGCGTCTCTGCAGACAATTGTGGCATATCACCTTCTGTTAATGTCCGACACCTGTATTGTGTGCTTAGGAGACCTTGGCGAAAGCGCCAGCGATCCTCTTGCCGTCGCCGCCGAGGCCGCGCCAAGACTTGACCTCGGGGCAGAGGGCAAGTCGGCGGATACCTCTCTCAACAACCATGATGGCGTAGATGGCACAGAGGACTCGGGTCAGATCGCTCAGCTCCTCCCTTGTGGGCATATCTTGCACAATAACTGTTTGAAGCCCTGGGTCGAGCGAGCCAACAGCTGTCCGATATGTCGTCGGAGTTTCAACATGGTCGAACTAAGTGACCACCCTGGTGGTAAGTACTTGATAAGTCCCTCTTCTTTATATAGACCTACCTACAATGGTCATGGATGGTCTCTACTTCCCTCTTGTTCGTTATGTGCATCTCAGATAACTGATTTGTGGCTTCCCTTTAGGTCCCGTCACATCCTCCTATGCCGTGCAGGATCGAGTTCAGCAAGCAGAAGTCGACCCTTCGATGATCATTGAATATATAGATGATGATTTTGCCGATTTTCAACCTTGTCCAATCTGTGGGGATGCAGACAATGAAGAACTGCTTCTCCTGTGTGATGGCTGCGATGTCCCCTCTCACACATATTGTGTTGGCCTCGATTCTGTCCCGACGGGTCCCTGGTACTGCGCACGGTGTGTGACGCAACGCCGCCTCGGGCGGTCTCCTGAGACTGCCGACTGGTCTTCCCAGACACAAGACAGGCGTGGTCGTCGCACAAGAGCACAGCGACGCAGACTGCAGAGCAGGAACCAGCTCAACTCGTTGCACTGGGCTCGCGTGTGGCAATCTGTCTGGGATCATCTAAATATCGACTTGGACTTTCCATTTGATGATGACATGGCTGCTGAGCGCGCTCGACAAGAGCAACGCAGGGAAGAAGCCCATCAACGTGATTTTCGAGCCTGGCAACGTCGCTTTGAAGTTGCCGAGCAGCAGGGCGGTGGCAACCGGTTCCGAGACACTGCCGCTCTACTGGATATCGAGGCGCCTCGCCCGTCGCGGCCCCGCGTTCCCCGTGAGCCCACCCCAGAGCCCGAGTCTCTTGAAGAGATGAGGGCCTGGAATGCTTTCGAGCGTGCCCGTGAGATTGAGAATGATCCAAGCGCGGCCCGGAAACGTAAGGAACCGACGTTGTCGCCGTCTCCTGAACCTACCGAACCTGAACGCAAGCTGAAGCGGCCCCGAACACGAAGGGCCGAAGACCTGGCAGCTCGGGCGGTACAGAATGGTGAATCATCGAGAGCTGCTAGTGCGCAGGCCTCTGCTCGGATCAATGCCGAGAGTTCGAGCGAACCGAGTTTTCTTCAATCCCTTCTAAAGGAGGTCGAAGAATCGTCCAACCCGAACGGGGTCACTCCCCATGGCGCTTCCGGTCAATCATCCATTGCACCCACCGATCATACGACCCCAGGCCCCTCGTCGCCTTCCATTTCACCTGCCCCATCTAACCACTCTTCCCCGCGTCTGTCTTCCGTCACACCGCCTCCAACCCTCCGAAGCAGGCCCATGTCTCCACTACAACTGGGGTCACCAGCAGACCCCTCCTCTCCACCTTTTTCGCCAGATGTGTCGCCGGTTGGTTCTGCTCGCAGTGCCCAAGACGATCACTCGTCGCAAGTCCCCACTCGCCGCCCGAATCGTCGGATACCTCGCTCTGCCACTCGATCAGCGGCTATCCGTTCCGACGACAGCTCGCCCAGTCGTCCGGGCTTGTCCCTCAAAGTCAAGTCTGACATACAGAAGCTGGTCGGGTCATCGCTCAAGCCTTACTATCGTTCGAAGACCATCACGAAAGAACAATACACGGAAATCAACCGCAATATATCTCGGAAGCTGTACGAGCGTGCGGGCGACGTTGAAACGCTCGGAATTGGGGCCAAAGCCACGCTGGCTACCGTGGCCAAGGAAGAAGTGGAAAAGGCCGTTGATGCGTTGAAGCAACGCCACGACCTCAATGACTCTGTTGATGAAAGCTCTTGATACTTGAATAGCGTCTTGCATTTCCTGGCGTTTTGCAGCGATTAATCTGATTCCTGTGGGAGGATAAGGGAGCCCGGCGTTTGTTTTTCAAGTGACAACTCCCGTTTGGCCGGAACTTGCACGGGAGGGTTGGATACCCATTGAGAAATATACTGGCCGGCTGGGTGGCGTATGTTGTCCACCGCATACTGTAGCATTGTCTTGCATTTATTATATACTCGAGTGATATACTATGGATGTTATTTTGCTGGCCGTTCAGATCCTAGACGGCCAGCGTGGGCAGTACATGCGTCGTCGTGATTCTGCGACGTAGCACAAACACAAGGTAGACCTACCAGTAGTCCTCACCGCTCCAATGACAAGAAGAAACCAGTGAAACCCAACTTTCCATCCTAACAACCCAAATTTGAGACCAACCACCACCTGTTGCATAGCCATTCAGTTTGTAACATCAGTCCCACAACGCAGAAAAGTAAACATGGAAGTGGATAGAGTACGTAGTACTATAGATAGTCACCGCCAATTGCAACCGATCGGACTCACCCGACTAGCATCTATCTATCGACTGATCACATCAGATCACATCATCCTCTCTGCCTCTCTGTCTATCTGCCCTCTCGTTCTCGCTTAAGTATCACGGGCAGCTCGGATATGCCACCAGTGTTCTGCATGCATGCACGGGTTCCCAACCAACCACCATAGATCGATCGGCTCATGGGTTGCCGGAGCAGTTACCCACCAATCTATTCTGGGTTTCTTCGTAAACGGACACTACGCTGTAAATAGATCTGCTAGCTAGGTTAGGCTACGTACGTGGTTACTAACCGGTTCGCATGATCTGGAACTGCCTTAGGAGGAGGTAACTACTTACTACCTTGTTAGTTACGTAGTAGTAGCTGGCTAGGTATCAGTGCATGCATGCACGCTTGCATGGGAAGATTGGGGTGTAGGTAGGGTTCGGGGTTTGGTTTCATGATATACTTACTACATACATACATACTACCACATTCTTCAGTAGTATGCGAAAGGCACTGAAACCTGCCAAAAATACTAGTAGTCGGATAGAACCTACCATCCTCCCTTCCAGCTCCAAGTTATGCACTCAGAAAATAACAAAAGTTACATACATCCTAACTGTCTAGTTAGTATAGAAATAAAATTGACAATTTGTAAATTGAAAAAAAAAAAGATATGCGACACCTCTGGGACTCGAACCCAGGCGGGCGAACCCACAGGCTAATCAGCTAGTACGGAGATGTAGTAGCAGGCCTGCGCCTTAAACCACTCGGCCAAAGTGTCTGATTGGTTATATTCCTTTCTCTTCTTAGTGAAATATATAGTGTGCTAAGATTTTGAGTAAGGCGAAGTTGATCCACAATCACTCAAGCTCTTCTCTTTGTTCCATGGTTTCGAACATTGGCATGATTGATTGCTTAGCTTAGATAGGTTCGGTTCGATGTTTAAACTATGGTAGAGAAGGGATTTTTTCTTCTGTTTTCTTGTGTGTGTGGTGGTGGATCGGAGTAGTTCCGTATGGCCCTGTGTTGTACTAGTAGGTAAATCTTGCCTTGTTGGTTGATTGGTGGATGGTGGAAACTTTTTATTGTAGTACGTTTGGTGGTGGTCATTGGGGCTGTTTGCTCTCCTGCTAATGCGGTTCTCGTCACGGGCTATCATGCAGCGGGCGGATAAGTTCTTAGAGAATAGACTTTTTGTTTCGTTTGTCAAACTGATCTTGCCTTGGATTTTATTCTCCGGTATGAGTTGTCTACGACCTACCTATCTAGTAGCAGATAGGAGGTGAGTGTCAGAGACTTGACCTGCTGCAGAGCTGTCACAATTTTCTGTCTCGTTTCTCTTTTTCTTGCAGAATCCAGTCAGGTCTCCATCTGTCGAAGGTCTAGACGTCAAAAGAAGGGAAAGAGAATGGAAAGAGAAAAAAAATTATGGAGCCCATAGCTAAAATCTATGTAGTATGGAACCCCTATCTTTTTCTTCCCATGGTCCCACTACAACACTATCCAAGCCACACAAGCACAAAGTCAGCCTGTTTATCTTCAAGTAGATTAGCTCTGTGATGAGGTTGCAAGGTTAGCAATTGGAATATTAACCGTATTAGGTATGGTTTCGGGCTTTCGGTCTCAGAAAATGTGCCGCCGTTCCTGGTTCGTATCTCAGCTGAAGTTAAGCGGATGACGAATCACTGCACAAGTTGCAGAAGCGCAGATAATAAGTCCAACAGTGAATTGCGTGATATGGCAGACCGATTGCTGTAACTACCACGTGCTGCTATTGCTGACATATCTACTACAGTCTGGCACAAACACATGAAACCGACTGATCTCGTCAACAGTCCGTCTGCGCACGTCCTGAGGACGAAGTGTCGAGAAATGTCGAGATAGGCATGCCAAGCCATCGGGTAGAAGTGGGCACTGGATCCAGTGCTGATATCTAACCTTTTTCATGAATCATTTCGGGGATTCGGAGCCCCCGAGGCGCGAGCTGGTGCCCACTTGGCCGCATAGAGCGAAGAGTTTGCATCCCATGGCCCCCAATCTGTTAGTGCTGCCTGAGGGGCTTGTTGTGCAGCCGCGGAAGCGCAATATTATTCATGACGCTTGCGCTATGTCTGGCCTACAGATCAGTATGTTCCCAATGAGAATCCTGTAAACACCGGGGACCCTGGTCATCCTCCGGATATAACGGCTCATAATTCGGTCCGGGCATGATGGCATTGCCCTAACCTAAGCACAGGATCACTTCTGAGGTCAGTCGGGAATCTGTAGGAAGGTGGGTAACCTGATCCTGGGACTTTGGGATGTTATGGTCAATATGGACCGGTCCTAGGAGTGGGG